AGCGGCCTCCCAGGAGCCCCCCGCGGGGCTGCCTGGTGATGCGGCCAGCCCTTCAGGGTGCCGTGTTCCCTTTCTCTGCCACGCCTGTGCCGTTCACCTTGAACTTGGAATTGTTTTCAACACGGACTGCTCTCTCTCTCTCTCTCTCTCTCTCTCTCTCTCTCTCTCGCAGGCCCAGGCTCCGACCCCACCTCCCTGCCCTCGGCGGCGAGCCCCGCGGTGATCAATGGCAAGGACTCCCCGCAGCAGCAGCAGCAGCAGCAGCAGCAGCAGCTGGCGAAGGGCAAGCTGCCGGCTGGGCCCCGGCCCTCGGCACTAGGTAGCGGTGCCCCCTGGGGGTCTGCCCTTCTCTGGGTCAAGGCTTTGGGGGATGAAGAACTGTCACCCAGAATGCCAAGTTATCCTCCCCCTCCCCCTCTGAGACACTGGGTACCAGAGGGACAGCTGCTGGGGACATCAGTGGGGAGACTTCATGGGCTCCAGCCTGTTGGGTGCGAGACCCAAAGGGCGGAATGTCTGCAGCTCCTCCGCCCAGAGCCCGAGCCCAGCCCTTCGCAGTTGGATGCAGGCCTTCTCGTTGTTTGGTTAATCCTCACCCAAGGGTATTTTCCCATTGATTTTTAGAGAGAGTGGGAGGGAGAGGAGAGACAGAGAGAGAGACATGGATGCGAGAGAGACACATTGATTGGTTGCCTCCCACATGCACCCTGACTGAGGCTGGGGATCGAGCCTGCAGCTGAGGTACATGACCTTGACCGGAATCGAACCCGGGACCCTTCAGTCCTTGGGCCGACGCTCCAACCACTGAGCCAAACCGGCCTTGACACTTGAGGACAGAGGTCGGGGAGTCGGTGCTGTGACCTCAACACAGCAAGACCGGTAGCTGCCTCAGAGGCTGCAGCGTGGAAGGAACCCCCTGTTTGAAAGCTCCTTGTCAACAGAGTAGATTATGTTTTTAACTCTTTATTCACTTTTTAAAAAAATGTTTTCTAGATTTTTAGAGAGAGAGGCAGGGAGAAAGAGAGAGAGAGAATCACTGATTGGCTGCCTCCTGCACCCCTCCTACTGGGGACGGAGCCCGTGCCCCGCCTGGGAATGGAACCGCGACCTCCTGGTTCATGGGTCAGCCCTCGGCTGCTGAGCCTCAGCAGCTGGGCTCTTTGCTCACTTTTTAAAGATGATTTCCTATCCGTCTAAGAAGGCGTGAGAGGGATCTCGGATCCCTTTTCCAAGACTGTAAAGCCATCCATCTCCAGCTGCCGTGAGCTTGGGCGGCCGCATGTGAAGGAGGCGTTTTCTCGTTCTCCGGAGATCTTTCGAGACGGGCGGGGCCCAGGCACGGGCCGATTGCACACGCCCCACTGGTTCTGCCCGCTCCTCCTCAGGCCACGCGTAGAGGAACGGTGCTCTGAACAGTGGTTCATGTCCCCTGGAGATTCCTTAGACCAGTGGTTCTCCACCTTGGCTGCACATTAGAGTCACCTGGGAATCTTTTTAAAATCCTGATTTCTGGGCCTCATCCTCCGGAAATTCTGTTTCTTTGTGATGGGTTGGGGCCACAACATTAGTAACAAAGAAACAGAATTTCCAGAGGATGAGGCCCAGACATCAGGATTTTAAAAAGATTCCCAGGGGATTCTAATGTGCAGCCCAGGTGGAGAACCACTGCCTTAGACTCACCAGGGAGCATAGCCGTGCACCTGGCCCCCTCCCCACCCAGGTGCTGGGGTCTGGTTTCCGTGGGATGGGGCTGCAGCAGGCGTGGAGGATTCTAGAAGCTTCTCAGGTGAGTTTAATATGCAGTCAGGATTGAATGTGCAGCTCTAAATGTAGGGGGAATTTTGCATCCGAAAATTCTTGATATTGTGAATAATCCACGGACGGAGCGTGAGTCACGGGCATGCTGTCTCCCAGTGTGGGCAGGGTGACTCATTGACAGCAGTGGGCACCAGCCTCTGCTCCCCTTGATTTTTTTAGTCTGAAATTAGCTTTCAAGACTGGGCGGGGGAGAGGAGCCCGGTGGATCGGTACTGCCCCCAAGTGGTGAAGTGTGGTGGTGGCTTGACTGTGTGGCCGTTCCTCGCGGCGTGAGAGGCTGTGAAGTGGGTCTCCGAGGCCACCATTGATTGATTGGGCCCAGACTCTGTGCTTTACGTATATTCTTTTTTTAAAAAAAATATTTTTATTGATTTCAGAGAGGAAGGGAGAGGGGGAGAGAGAGATAGAAACATCAGTGATGAGAGAGAATCATTAATTGGTTGCCTCCTGCTTGATTGGGGATGGAGCCCGCAACCCGGGCCTGTGCCCTGAGCGGGAATCGAACTGTGACCTCCTGGTTCCTAGGGCCACGCTCAGCCACTGAGCCACCACGGCTGGGCCACACAGATTCTCTTTAGTCCTGATCAAAGCACCGTGCGGGGTAGGTTTTATCTCCCCTTTTAAAGGCGAAGGAGCTGAGGCTCCGGGTTAAAGGTCAGGCACCCGCACAGCTTTGGAGTGAAGCATCACAGTGACGGGCAGGAGGTGTCCTGAGGCCTAGTGATGCCAATAGACCCCAAAACCCATTGCAAACTGTGATTTTAAGAAATATGAGTGAGTGTTCTGCGAGTCAGAGGGCTGTTCTATTGAAGCCCCCCCCCGGTGACAGCCTAACCCTCCCTCTGAATGTTCTTCAGGTATCTTCTCAAACTCCGGGCCCCCCAAAAAGCGCCACAAAGGGTGGTCTCCGGAGTCTCCCTCGGCTGTGGAAGGCAGCTACCCCCAGGGAGGGGGGAACAGAGCTAAGTATGGTGAGTGACAGGAGCCTTGGCCCAAATCAAGGCTCGGGTACCGGCCGGTGGCGTGTGTGCGCGTGTGGGCCTGTGTTTTTGTGTGTTGGCGAGGATTTCTAGGGAGGCTGACTTTGGTACAGCTAAAGGCTCTCCTGCCATGTGTTCGAGTCGCTTAACAAAGCCTAGGATCCCTGCATGGCAGTGAGTTCCCTGATCCCAAAGGAATTTGCAAAGGCGCTTGCCTGCCACCTGTCAGGGATAGTGGAGAGGAGATGGGGTCACTTGGTGGGAAAGGTTGGACCAAGTGACCTTAAAGGTGCTTTTGGCCTCAGAAATTTGGGATTCCAAGACTTGGGTGCGCCCGTGGGTGTGTCAGGGGGGTGAGGGTCAGGTTGTAGCAGAGGTGGAGGCCGGCCTGACCTTGGCCTGCGGGGGTGGATGCCTTGTCTGTGTCTTCCTAATACTCGCTGTCTTTCCAGAGAGCGCGGGCGTGGCCTGCGTGCCCCCGGTCGGCTTGGTGGGACCAGCCTCCGTCACCTTTCCCGTCGTGGCCTCCGGGGAACCGGTGTCGGTTCCCGACAACTTGCTGAAAATATGCAAGGCCAAGCCGGTGATATTTAAAGGCAGGTGCAGCGTGCAGCACGCGGCGGGGGTGGGGCGGCTGGAGGGAGGTGCGAGGAACAGGCCACATCCGGGCCTCGCTGCGGGCTGACTCCCAGGGTGTCCTCCCGAGAGCACTCGGACACTCCCTCCCGCCAGGTGCCAGCTGGGAGAGCGCGCCTCAGTGTCCACCACAGGCCAGTGCCCTGCTCCGCTCCAGGGGGTCCACTTGCTTGTTCACTTGTCCTTTCCTTCCTCCACTCCCGCCACCTCCCTGAGCTCCTGCCGGTGACGGGCTCGGTGCTGGGCGTCCGGTGAGAGGTGGACCCTCAGCCTCTGCTGATGTAAGGGACCAGGAGCCGGTCTGGGCATGGTCCGTGGTTGCCCGAGGCCGCTGGTGTTTCTGACCGTGAAGTCCGACTTCGGTTGGGCAAGGATAGCCACGGTCACCACGGGGATGCATGAAACACTAGATTGCATCTCTGTTTTGTGTCACTGGGTTAATGGGTGGCTGCTACGTGGAGGTTGGTTTGGGGCTCACCTAAAGAAACCCCTTTTTCTAATGAAGTGGGAGACCTTGAAATGTGAGGACTTGATGACGGCACCCACTGCTGGCATCTATGAACACATGCATGCACATGCACACACACGTCCACACGTACCCACACACACGCATGCACATGTGCAGTCAGGTTCTTCTGAAGTGCATTAACACTGCATTTGGTGTCATGCTTGCAGGAAAAGAGGAGAGGGGGTGCCTGGAAAGTGGGAGGGGTATCTTACTGCTAGGAAATAAGAGCAGGCACTCCATTCTTTCTCCTTAAAACGGAAGTGGACAGGGTATTCAGGAAGAAGCGGCACATGTGGGTTTGGAACGGGGCCCCGTTGGCCAACCAAAATGCAGGCCGGCATTGCATCGCCTGGCCGTGTTCTCTGCATGGCCGTGTGTGTCTGGTGGCCCTGGGGACACCTGGACAGGGAAATGGAGCAAGGCAGGTGCGGGGCGTGGTGGGGTGGGCGGGGCTGGGGGGCGGGAGCCCAGGCTGTGCCCGAGGCCCGCTGACCGGCTAATGCTGCTCTTCCTGCACAGGCCACGGGAACTTCCCCTACCTCTGCGGGAACCTGAACGACGTGGTGGTGAGCCCGCTCCTGTACACGTGCTACCAGAACTCCCAGTCCATCTCCAGAGCCTACGAGCAGTACGGGGCCCCCGCCCTGCAGCCCATCTCGGAGGAGATGCAGCTGCTGCTCACCGTCTACTACCTGGTGCAGCTGGGTGAGTCCCTCCCCGCCCGCCCGCGGGGACCTCTGAGGACTGATCGCTACAGGGGGGCGCGCCCGCACCCGCATCGCTGATCTCACTGGCGCCCTCACTGGCTGGTGGAGGTGGAATCCAGGGAAGGTGCTGGCAGATGCTACAGGGACTGCAGCGGTCACGCCCTGAGGGGCTGGGAAGGGCTTAAAGTAGGTCAGAATCTATGGCGATAATTAAGAAAAGATTTACCTGCCGTGCGGGGGTTGAGTGAAGACTGATGATCGACTGTGGGGTGTGGGCACCCTTGATGGGCGGAGTCTGACGGGGGACAAACACCATATTGGAGCGGGTTAGAGAGGACTAGCATGGCAGCGTGGACCCCAACCCTAACCTTGCTGGGCAGAGGGGTGTGGGGGGAGTGGTTCTGGAAAGGGATGGGGCTCGGGAGATCCCACAGCTAATCCAATGAAATGCTGCCACAGCCCAGCGAGTGGGTGGCGGGACCCCTATTGTTTCAGACCTGGAATCTCTGCTGGAGGGGAGCTCAGGGCTCCGCAGCCGAGGCTGGGTGGGGACGGGTGTTCTCAGTAGAAACGTGGTGTTCTTTCCTCCACTCACCCAGACATAAAACTTGGGCATGTAAACCGGAAAATACCGGCAGGAAACCAGTGTCGAACGTAGTCAATCTCACTAGGCATCCAAGAGATGCTAGTGAACAAATCAAACAAGTAAAATTTTTCTCTATTAAATGATTGGCAACAACTCGAGTGATGGCAGCCCTGGCGCTAAGGGGGCGGTGAAACCGGTGTTGCCCGGCGCCAGGGCCTGGCGGTAAGCTGACGCAGTGAGACCCTCTACCAACAGCCTGGCGGCCTGCAGTAATTCCCTACGCTCACGTTTGAGAATTTAGGCCGAGGACTTCAGCTCTATAGCAGTGGTTCCCAACACGGGGCACACCACGTCCCACAGGGGGGCAATGTGATTTTAAAAAATATATATATTTATTGATTTCAGAGAGGAAGGGAGGAGAGGGAGATGGAAACACCAATGATGAGAGAGAATCATTGATTGGCTGCCTCCTGCACGCTCCCTACTGGGGATTGAGCCCACAACCCGGGCATGTGCTCTGTCCACTGAGACAAACCACGTAGGGTGGCAATTTGCTTTTTAAGGGGGGCAATTTGAGAATGAGTTACTAGGAGTGAAGTTTTTGCATATCCTATGGTTCTAGGGGCCTCATATACAGTATATAAATATAGTGACATATTTATGCATTTCAGTTCTCTATATGTTCTGAAACTTTATTTGCTATTTTTTCATATCACTTCATGTTATTATTTTTTAAACAATTTTCTAGTGATTTCTTCCTCAGTACTTCCACTGTCCTTTCGTTCTATTTTTCTCTTTCATGGATGCCATGTGCTTTGGAAGCTTGTTTAGACCAAGTTCATGACCTTTTAGGCTTCCTCCACGTGAACAGGAGTCACTTTTTGAATAATAAGAATTAGGTGTCACAGGGGGGCATCCGGATGTTAGAGATGCTCACCACTGTCACCTGCCCACTGTCACCTGCCCACTGTCACCTGCCCACTAGCACCTGCCCACTGTCGCCTGCCCACTAGCACCTGCCCACTGTCGCCTGCCCACTAGCACCTGCCCACTGTCGCCTGCCCACTAGCACCTGCCCACTGTCGCCTGCCCACTAGCACCTGCCCACTGTCGCCTGCCCACTAGCACCTGCCCACTGTCGCCTGCCCACTAGCACCTGCCCACTGTCGCCTGCCCACTAGCACCTGCCCACTGTCGCCTGCCCACTAGCACCTGTCCACTGTCACCTGCCCACTGTCACCTGCCTGTGCTGAGCCAGCACAGCTAGGTTTGGTGAGCCTGAGAGGAGGTGGTGAAGGATGGAGAAAGGACAGATAAGAGAAGAAAGCTGGGTCTGGGTGGGAGCTGTCCTCTCCGATGGAGAGCTAGCGACAGCGCCATGGCCTGCAAGCCATGTCTTTATTTTATAGCAGATTCCACGAGGAAAGTAAGGGGTGGGGGCGGTCAATATGTTTACAATGTTCTCGTGAGTTTCAAATCTACTCAGTTACATGCACCTGATCAAGCTTTGTTTACTTGCTGCACCTCCCGCAGCCTATATCACTCAGCCACGTGGGACCACAGGTTTGGACCATGAGGTCAAGCTT